CATTATATCGAGTAATTTATTAAAATTCTAAATGGAAACATTTATTATAACGCTACATGGAATAATTTAAGTCTAAATGGAGTAATTTATTATAATGTTAAATTGAATTATTTATTAGAATTCTGAATGGAATAATTTATTTTAATGTTACAGAATCATTTATTAGAATGCTACATTTAATAATTTATTGTAACATTATATAGAATAATTTATTATAATGCTAAATGGAATAATTTATTAAGTTACACAGAATTATTTATTACAAAGTTACACAGAATTATTTATTGTACTTCTAAATTTATTAATTTGTTAGAGTGATAAATGAAATATTTTATTAGAATGTAACACAGAAATATGTATTAGAATTCTAAATGAAATCAATTATTATAGTGTATATTATAGTGAATTATTTATTAGAATGCTAAATAAAAAAAATGATTAGAATAGCAAATGGAATAAATTATTATAATGTTACATAGAATAATGTATTAGAATTCTGATTGGAAAATGTTATTAGAATGTTACACTGAATAATTTATTAGAATGACAAATTAAATCTTTCATTATAATGTTACATAGAATTATTTATTAAAATTCTGAATGGAATAATTTAATAAAATGTTACACTGAATTATTTATTAGAATTCTGAATTTAATAATTTATTATAACAATCATTCATTCATTTTCTTTTCGGCTTAGCCCCTTTATTAATCTGGGGTCTCCACAGCGGAATGAACCGTCAACTTATCCAGCATACAGTTAAGGTCAGAATTATTAGCCTCCCATTTGAATTTTTTTTTTTTATTATTTCCCAAATGAAGTTTAAATAGAGAAGGACATTTTTACAGTATGTCTGATAATAATTTATCATCTGGAGAAAGTCTTATTTGTTTTATTTCGGCTACAATAAAAGCAGTTTTTAGTTTTTTAAAAGACATTTGAAGGTCAAAATTATTAGCCCCTTGAAGCTATATTTTTCCGATGGTCTACAGAACAAACCATCTTTATACAATAACTTGAGATCAGGTAGTTCTCAAAAGCTCCCCCTGGTATAAGAAGGAAAAGGGGGAGAAAGGGTGGATGGGGGGATTTTTCCCAACAACTAAGATAAGGGGGATAATGTGAAGTGGGCTATATATTGTAGCTTTGGATTAACCTGATTTCAGTCGCGATCAATAATATCAGGTGCTCCTCTGGAAATTAGTTTATCAAACTTCACTTATTAGAATGTTACATGTTTTAAAAACAAAGGAAAACAGTAAATATACGACTTAATACATGGGATATTATTCTCATTGTAGTAATAGAACAAATGTAGTTTTCTAGATTTGTTAGACACCAGCAGCATCAAAGAAATGTAAAACAACAAATAATATAACTAATTATTTCACTTGTGTCTTGTTGTCATTTATTTAAGTGCTCTATATAGTACACAAAGCTGCACTGAAAACCCTAATAAGTTGACTGAACTAAATTGATTAAGTAAACTTGTTGCTTCAATTTAGTAGTAATGGAGTCTCCCAAAATTGGCATATTTAAGTTTATTTAACTTGCCGGTTTTGTAGACTATACTCAAATTGTTCAGTTCACCAAACTTAGTATTCAGTTTGGTGAACTGAACAATTTAAGTATTATCTACAAAACCGGCAAATACATTTTAAACAAAAAATAAGTAGCCATTTATTCACATTATGATGAATAATTACACCTGAAACCATTTGTTTTCTGATTTAAAAAATCCCTTGCACTTAAAAGGTTGCACATATTGGAATTTTACAGTCAAGACTACATTTGTGAAAATGACCTTAAGGATTAATTATGATTTTGAGCTCACTACACTTGAAATCTTAAGTTTATGCATTGTCCTGGTGCATACGTTAAATTAACTCATATATTTAAGTGGACCAAAATGCAAAATTTTAAAAGTTACATTCAGTCAACTTTACTTATTTGTATAAGTAAAGACAATATTAGAGATTGCAGTGTGAGGAATGTTTCATGCTTCAGGATTTAATGGACTTTTCCTCATGTTTTCCCTGCAGCGGGTCTAAGTTTGGATTTCCCTCCTCTAAAAATACTCCAGAGTGAAGAGCTCTTTAAATAAACGCTTCTGTAGCTTTAGGTGTTCAGGAAAATGAAGCAGTCAGACATGACAATAAGTCAACAGGATGTTTACCCAGCAGCCATTACTAAACATTTACTGAGCAAGAGTGATGTGTAACTGAAAAACAGCATGATGAGTATACCGTAAGTCTTTCCAGCTGAAAAAATATGTTTATCGACTAGGAATGTTTTGTTTGACAGCAAAACAAGTGTTTAGAGACTTTCAGCTCTTACACAACAGAATGGAATAAATAAGAATATAATTAAAATAAATAAGGGCAGAGCGGTGACTCTGTGGTTAGCACTGTCACCTCACAGCTAGAAGCTCGCTGGTTCGAGTCCTGGCTGGGCCAGTTGGCATTTCTGTGAGGAGTTCACCCCGTGATGGTGTGGGTTTCCTCCGGGTGCTCCGGTTTCCCCCACAATCCAAACACATGCAATATAGGTAAACTGAATGAACTAGATTGGCCATAGTTTATAAGTGTGTGTGTGTGTGTGAATGCGAGTGTGTATGGGTGTTTCCCAGTACTGTAATGTAAAGCATTTATCATGTGTGATCATACACCCAAAGCACTTCACAATCACGAATCACTCTCCACACCACCACCAGTGTGCAGCATCCACTTTGAGCATCCACTGACCAGGCTCAGCCCTGCTTAGCTTCAGTGAGTGGCTGCAGGGTGATATGGCTGTGGCATACTGGGTTGCGTCTGGAAGGGCAACCACTGCGTAAAACATATGCTGGATAAGTTGGCGGTTCATTCCGCTGTGGCAACCCCTGATAAATAAAGGAACTAAGTCAAAGGAAAATCAGTGTCAATGCTTCCCATTCACTTTGAATGGGTGACGTCAGGCGTTACCGAACTGCATTGTGGATCCGTCGGAGCCGCTTCAGAGGCGTTGCTCGCTGCAGAACTTTTCAAGCGCAGATGGAAGCGTCAGCCAATCCGATCGCTGTATGCAAATACACCAGCTCAGACAGTAGCCAATTGCTTACTACTTTCATTGACTGACGCTGCTATGATTATCGCGTCAGCCCCAACTTTGTCAAGCATCGACGCTGAAGCCCCGTGTGAATGGGGCGTGAATGAATAAATTAAAAATAAATATTATTATACAGAAGTTAGAGTGCATTACATTCATAACAAAAGGATAGTAACAATATTTATGATGTTACAACAAAAATAAAAGTCATATCACTACAAAAATTGAGCTCTGGATCACAGGAATAAATGACATTTTAAATTATATTCACACAGTAAATTTGTTCCAAATTTGTTCCATTATTCCAAATGTTTGGAATAAACATTTTCACAAACTAATAATCAATGTTACCATTATAGTGTCATTTGTTTGCATTTGTTTTATGCGTTTGTTTTTATAATCATTAATTATTTATTATTTTTATTATATATTTATTATTTTGGATCTATGTTTCATTTAGCCAAATACTTATTTTTAATTAAATGATTTGTCAAATATCCAATAACTTAACCAATCAATCAGAATACCAGAAATTGTTAAAAACCCTTTGTCAAGGAATTCAGTAGATGGAAGTTATGTATAGGTTAAAAAGTTCTTGCATCCAGTGTTGTGTTCATATTTATGGTAATGTTTATGTAGCACCGTTGTCCTGCGAGACAACATTTTGTTCCAATTTGTCTGTCTGCACCAAACTCAATGTGACGTGACATGGCAGAAACATTTAAACTGCAGCCACTGCACTCAGAATGAAATGGTAAAGGCTTGTAATCTAAATAATACATATTAAACCTCTTTAATATTATTAATAGTCATACATTCATTCATTTTCTTGTCAGCTTAGTCCCTTTATTAATCCGGGGACGCCACAGCGGAATGAACCGAATGATGCCCTTTCAGCCGCTACCCATATCTAGGGAATCTTCTACCCTCACACAAACACACTCATACACTACAGACAATTTAGCCTACCCAATTCACCTGTACCGCATGTCTTTGGACTGTGGGGGGAATCGGAACACCCGGAGGAAACCCACGCGAACGCAGGGAGAACATGCAAACTCAACACAAAAACGCCAACTGAACCGAGGTTCGACCCAGCGACCTTCTTGCTGTGAGGCGACAGCACTACCTATTGCGCCACTGCTTCGCCCCTATTAATAGTCATAATAATAATAATAATAATAATAATAATTAATAGTTCATTTTCAAACTGTCGTATTTTATTTCCAAATCTGAGTAGACTATCTCCTGCTGCTTTCAATAGTTTGGCAATAAATGTAACGTAAAATGTATTTATGTAAGCATTTAACACTGAATAAAGCCCATAATCAGTACCTGAGGCGATCATTGTCATAGTAGTATATGCTGTTGTTTTGTTGAAAGCATTTTACAGTATAATAGATATTTTGTGCATCGCAGTTGCAGATGGTTGGTAAAAAAAACTCGTTAAACATGGAAAATATACTTTTTATCATGTCTCAGTGACATTGCGTCGCGTGTTGTTAAATCCACACATGTAGCGAAATGATAATAAAGCTCAATTTAACTTGACTTGAACAGATTAACACAGAGGGACATTTTTAAAACCTCCTTTTCTTGATTTTTCTCAAGGCATTTTTGGTGATTATGGTGACATTTGTGCCAAAAGTCCTTGTTGGTTTATTGTTGGGTTTTCCTCTGTGGCTCAGTTCAGTCTTCTAATTGCATTAGTTGTGAAAGGCGAACACTCTGGGGACTGTTGGCTTGGGAAATGGTCTGACGTGAAGCATATGCTCTTTACCGCTGCCAAACCGTAATCAGCACATACTTCACATTCACTGCGGCATGATGGGAATCCAGTGCTTCTAAAATAAAGCCAATATGTGTGTGTGTGTATGTGTGTGTGTGTGTGTGCGTGTGTGTGTGTTTGCAGCTGGGCTTTGCTGATCTGAATATGGCAGAGTTTGCGGGATCGGGCTGGACGGCGCGCTGCTGTCTGCTGGAGGGATACGACACCAAAAACACACGACAGGACAACTCCATACTTAAGGTCAGATGTCACACACACTTGTATACATGGTTTGCAGGGACACTACATAGATGTAATGTATTTTATACAGTAAAAAAACTATTAAGATATGGCCCTGTACCTAAATACAACCCTCACAGGACACCTGTAAACAAATATGAAAAATATGGAATATCAAAAGACTTCATTAAGTATGACTTTTAAGCATTTTGAATTGGTGTGACCCTGTTAACCACCTCAATATCAGGGTTCAACGCTAAGGATTTTTTCTACTGGACCGATCGGGCCAGTGGTTCTGATTTTTACTTGCCCTGCCAAACTTTTCACTGGCCCCACCAAAAAAAAAGAAGAAGTTAATAGCTATTTGACTGTGTGTGTGTTTGCTTGCGTGCATGCGTGCGTAACCCAGTTTATTTTTCCCCCAATTTCTATTTAAAAGAGAGCAGATAATCTCAGCACATTTCTAAACATAATAGTTTTAATAACTCATCTCTAATAACTGATTTATTTTATCTTTGTCATGATGACAGAAAATAATATTTGACTAGATATTCTTCAAGACACTTCTATACAGCTTAAAGTGACATTTAAAGGCTTAACTAGGGTAATTAGGTTGACTAGGCAGGTTATGGTAATTAGGCAAGTTATTGTATAATGATGGTTTGTTCTGTAGACAGTCTGAAAAACAATTAGCTTAAGAGGCTAATAAATTTGACCTTAAAATGGTTCATAAAAAATAAAAAAAAATTACCACCTTTAAAAAGTACAACTAAGTCATAGTCGTGTCATATGCAACTTATACGTGTCCTCGTTATACGTGTCCTTATACGTGTTGTTTTACACGTCATTATATATGTCCCTGTAAACCACATATATCTGTACATACACAGGAGACTTTTAGACTTGATGTTTCTACTATACAAACAGTACATCATCTACCCTAAACCCAACCCTTAAAGGAAACCAGTGACAAAAATTGAGTATCAAAAGACTTCTTTAATTATCATTTTTAAGCATTTTGAATTATAGGGACAGGTGTGACCCTCTAAACCAGTGGTTCCCAACCTGGGGTCCGCGCCCCCCTAAGGGGGGCGCCAGAGTTCACAGGGGGGGCGCGGGAGAGGATAAGTGTTGAGGTAGAAAAAGGCATAAAAATGCTCCACTATTATAAAGGGCTTTGCAATTAATCGAATATCCGATTTAGATTTCGGTTTCAAACGATTATAAAAAAGCATTAATCGAGATAAATGATTATTGCATCATATTTTGCCACGTTCCAGTTGTACACGCTCTTAAATGGCTCTTAAAAGCGCGAAAGAGCTTATGTGTGTGTGCAGCACGATCACGCAGTCAGAAGCATGCGGTCGGTCAGCATTCACTCTCATTCACACACTGAGACGAGCAGAGGAGCGCAGACATCTAAAGTCATCTTAACGTGAGCGCTTTAATGGTCAAATAGGTGTCAAAACGCGGTGTTTAGTGATTATGTACATTAACCCTCATTTGTGTAATAAACAAACGAGTTGAGGATCAAAAGACGTGAAAGAGAAACCATTAAAGATACAGCGCGCTATAATCCTTCTGCCGCCTGTTTTTATCATTATTAAACAAACACAACGAGAAAACCCTCGCTGCTCTTGACTGAAGGACTGCTGCAGCTAGTGTTTTTCTTACAGTGAAGATGCTTAAAACACAGTTTGTTTTATATTTTTATTCTATTGTATTTATTTCTCTTTCCTTTGCAGGGTGGAAAATAACTGTATGTATACCGTTGAAGTCAGAATTATTATCCCTCCTGAATATTAGCAAACCTTTTCCTACCCAATTTCTGTTTCATGGAAAGAATATTTTATTAACTTATTTCTGAACATAATAGTTTTGATATCTCATTTCTAATTACTGATTTCTTTTTGTCTTTGCTATAATGACAGCACACATAATATTTTACTAGATATTTTTCAAAATACAAGCATTCAGATTAAAGTGCAGTTCAAAGGCTTAAATAAGGCAAGTCATTATAACGGTAGTTTATTCTGCAGACAATCAAAAATATATATTGCTTAAGGGGGCTAATAATATTGACCTTAAATTGGTTTCAAAATATTTAAACCTTTCTTTATTCTAGCTAAAATAAAACAAATAGAAGAAAAATATTATAGGAAATACTGTTAAAATTCCTTGCTCTGTTAAACATAATTTGGGAAATATTTATTAAAAAAAAAAATCTCAGGAGCGCTAATTATTTTGACTTTAACTGGCAATGGTTTTGAATAATCGTGATTACAATTATGACCAAAATAATCGTGATTATGATTTTTCCCAAAATCGAGCAGCCCTACTATTATATATGTATTTTTAAGTACCAAAAAAAAAATAAAAAACTAAACACATGCTTAAAATTCCAACATAATAGTGAAAATAATTAAAATAAATAACTTTAATTATTTAAATTTTGCTCACTCGCGCAATCTGCTTGTCAACGTGTCGTAAAGGCAAAATCAAAACAAAAATGGCAGACAAACGTAAATGCAGGGATTCCTCAGAGGCGAAGAAAAAGATTAGACAGTATGACAAAGCCTACCTAAATTTTGGTTTTATTGAAGGCCAAGACAAGTTAAAACTGATTAATTAATATTTTCTATACATATTACTATATATTAATATTACACAAACACACACACACACACACACACACACACACACACATATATATATATATATATATATATATATATATATATATATATATATATATATATATATACACACAGTACATATGTATGTGCGTGCGTGCGTGTGTATTTATATGGTGGGGGGGGCTCCAATGTTTGTATATGTTCATGGGGGGGGCTCCAAAGAAAAAGGTTGGGAACCACTGCTCTAAACCACCGTAATAGAGTACAACTAAGTCCTAGCCATGTCATTATACAACTTAAACGTGTCCCCATTATACGTGTCATTATACATGTTGTTATATCTGTTCCTGTAAACCACACACAGTTGAAACCAGAGGTTTACTTACACTCTAAAAAAGGAACAAAACCATTTTTAAAAAAAATGTCTGATGGTAAATCATATTAACGTTTACTATTTTAGGTCTGTTAGGATTACCTAAATGATTAACGTTTGCCAAATGCCAGAATAATAAGAGAATGTTTTTTGAGAATTTTTTATTAATTTCTAGACAGTCAAAAGTTGACTCACATTTCCTTGGTTTTTTTAAGGTATTAAATCAAAAGGTATTTTATTTGCCAGCTAATAACCTTTTCATTACATATAAAATGAAACTTCTGAACCAAGCCTGATGGAAAATGCTCATTTACAAGAAAAGAGGTCTGATGGATTTAGAGGGTTTTGCATCTGAACTCTTCATATATATTCTAGTCCTGATTGGGAGGTAATGTCCGATTCCGATCAAGTCTGAAATCCCATGATCGGAGTGAGTTATGTTTTTATTACTGTTAAAACAAGTGCAAGAACAGTTGAAACGAATTAAAAGTAAAAACAAACCAATAATCAGAAATAGGAAAGAAACATATTTGTAAATGGAACTGTACACCACAATTCAAGACATTACCTAATAATTATTTGAATAAAAATGTGGCTCAGTGGTTAGTACTGTCGCCTCACAGCAAGAAGGTTGCTTCTTGAAGGTCAGTTGGCATTTCTGTGTGGAGTTTGCATGTTCTCCCTGTGTTGGCGTGGGTTTCCTCCGGGTGCTCCGGTTTCCCCCAAACACATGCGCTGTAGGTGAATTGGTTAAGCTAAATTGACCATAGTGTATCTGTGTGAAAGAGTGTGTATGGGTGTTTCCCAGTGCTGGGTTGCAGCTGGAAGGGCATCCACTGCTCAAAACATATGCTGGATAAGTTGGCGGTTCATTCCACTGTGCCGACCCCTGATTAATAAAGAGACTAAGCCGAAAATAAAATGAATGAATGAATAATTATATTTAATATAATATATGTTTTATTACTGTTAGAACTGGTGGCGGAACAGTTGAAGAGAATGAAAAAATCTAAAAATAAACCAATAATCAGAATGGGTGAAGAAACATTTTTATTTTTTTTTATTAGAATATGCAAAGATCATACAAATACAAGAAAACATCACCAAATAACAAATACAAAGCAACAAAACAAAAACAACAAGAATATAGTCAGGTACTGGTATGTGCGTGTGCGTGTGCGTGTGCGTGTGCGTGTGTGTGTGTGTGTGTGTGTGTGTGTGTGTGTGTGTGTGTATGCATGTAAAGGTAATTTGGTGGACAGGTCAGAGTACATACATAAGGAACAATAACAGTCAATAAATGAAGCAAGTGTCACAGATATAAATAAAAGATATTGAAAGAAACCAGTCAGAGTTAGGGAGTAACAACAATGCTTATTAATGTATGATAGTAAAAATGAAAGTAAAAAGAAAGAAAGGACAACAGTAATAATAACTGACAATAATAATAAATCACAAGTGCAACATCAACTACTAATACAGAAAGTTACTTATATTACAACTAATACTGCTTCTACTACAGCCACAACCACGACTATTACTACTACAATGTTTACTAATACTGATACTACTACAACAATGACTACCACTACTGATACTACTAAAGCGTTTGCTACAACTAATACAACAACGTCTACTGCTACTACTACTACTACTACTACTACCACAATCATGTGAAGAAACATTTTAAATTGTTTGTGAATGCAACCGTACACAAAAAATTCAAGACATTAATTATTAATTCAATGAATAAAAATGAGAACTAATAATAAGTAATACAATAAGTAAATATGACGATAAAATAAACAAATAAACATACAACATAAAAAAGCTAGCTTGAGTTAAAAATGTGACAAAAACAGAGGAAACCAAAATTCAAGATAAATGTACCTAAATACACACAAATAAAGTAGCTATCCTCTGATTTTTTTTTCTAAAATCAAACCAGCATGTGCAAATAAATGGGATAGTAATGTTAGATAAAAAAATAACTAAATATTTAATAATTAGGAATAATTTAAAATAAAGGTATAAAAAATAACTTTAACATTTTTATATAAAGCTAACAAGTGTGAAAATAAATCTGACAATACTCAAAAATACAGTATTAGCACAGAAAAGAAAACGATGTAAATATGAAAGTGATTACGTGCACATTTCAGCTTTCTCTCAGCACATGATTATGTAATATTCTTGACACTCGACAAAAATATTAAAAGTCAGCTGAGAAGAATGAATTAAGCAAGCATTATTAAAGCAGTGAGGAAAACAGATTGATCAGTTAACTCGAAGTAATAGTTTTCTCTGTTATTATAAAGGTGACCATTGGAATGACGCTGTTATCTGGAGATCCTTGTTTTAAAACGTGAGTATTTTGCTTTGATTGTGTTATTCTGTAATGTAGACTCTGACGCCCCCTGTAGGCTCGTGAATGACAGTACAACACGCAGACTGAATGAATGATTATCTGAAAGTGAACTCATCCCCTGTTTATTTAGTCCACCAAGCACTGCTAAATGTATTTCTGTGGCTGGACAAGACCCTTCCCTGCAGCTGGACTGTAAAGGAGAAGGAACTGCTGAGGTTCTGCCCCGAATGGCTAAACAGAGACCATCCATACTCGGATCCGGTAAAGATAATGCATTTCATTCATTTATTCATTTTCTTTTTGGCTTTATTAATCCGGGGTCACCAGAGCGGAATGAACCGCCAACTTATCCAGCATATGTTTTATCCAGCGGATGCCCGTCCAGCTGCAACCCATCACTGGGAAACACCCATACACTCTCATTCACACACATACACCACAGACAATTTAGCTTACCCAATTCACCTGTACCGCATGTCTTTGGACTTGTGGGGGGAACCGGAGCACCCGGAGGAAACCCACGTGGGGAGAACATGCAAACTCCACATAGAAATGCCAACTGACCCAGCCGAGGCTCGAACCAGCGGCCTTCTTGCTGTGAGGCGACAGCACTACCTACTGCGCCATTGCGTCGCCTAATGCATTTCATAATCAGACATATTTGTTTCTCTGTATATTAATGGTAAAATTTCCTTAATACCACCAAATACGTCATTATAAATATGCATGTGTCGAGTAAACTCAATGTATTTTTTATTTAAAGTGTTACCTAATATTAATTGTGCGTTTTATAAATTAATTTTTATTTTTTCTTATATTTTTTATGTATTTTAAGTAATTTTTTCCAAATATACTATGATTAAATTTGTGATTTAGATATTTGATTTAGAGATCATGGTGGTGGTTTTATTATTTTTTTATGAATTTGGTTTTTCCATGTACTATTTGATTATTTGTTTATTCATATTTTGGTTGAAATTTTCTAAAAGTTTTAGTAATTAGTTTTTGTGTAATGTCTGTATCGTTTGCATGTTTTATGTGTTATTTTCTTTTTTTTTTAATGATTTTAAAAAGTTACCAATTACATTATTTATTTAATTATTATTATTATTTAATTATTATCGTTGTTGTTAAATTATTATTATTATTATTATCATCATTATTATTATTATTTTATTTTTATTATTATTATTTAAGTATTATTATTATTATTATTATTATTATTATTTAAGTATTATTATTATTATTATTATTATTTAAGTATAATTTTATATATTTGATTATATTATTAGAATTGTTTTTTGTTTTAGATATAGTCTATCATATTTTGTTGTTTGTTTGAATTAGTCTATACGTATTACCTTTAGATTTTCTGTGTTCATTTTATAGTTTTAGTAATTTGTGGGTGGGTTTTTAATTTTTACAGTTAAATTATTATGAACAGTGTTATGGGTAACACATTACAAGTAACATGAGTTACGTAATAGTATTACTTTTCTAATTAACGAGTAAATTAACGTGTTATATTTAAAAATTCTGTTATAATATTTGAGTTAATTTTTTTGAAAACGTAACGCGAGTTACTTTTTAGTTTAATTAATTGGCTTTAAAAAAATCGCTGAATTAAAATGAACGTTGTTGCATTAAATCCCGCACTCACTAAGAGAACGCAGGAACAGACAGAAATGAAGATAGCAGGACCTTATATTTCTTTAATGGAAAATTCTCATTGTTTTGAACACATGGAAGAAAGGGAAATGAGGATTCTCTGAATGAACAGTGATTTTACTTTTTAATCAGACAATTAGTACAAAAGTAGCAAACGCATTGCTTTAAACCAGTGGTCACCAATCTCGGTCCTGGAGGGCCGGTGTCCCTGCAGGGTTTAGCTTCAACTTGCCTCAACACACCTGGCTGGATGTTTTAAGTATACCTAGTAAGACCTTGATTAGCTTGTTCAGGTGTGTTTGATTAGGGTTGGAGCTAAAATCTGCAGGACACCGGCCCTCCAGGAACAAGTTTGGTGACCTCTGCTTTAAACATTCATTAATCTGTATGTACGGCATACCGGTAGAGCTCCCGAGTCAGGAAGTTCTCAGAAGATAACATTATCCAACATTAATTTTTGTATGTGTTTTTAAAAGGTAAATAAAGGTTATACAGTGTGTTGCTATTTTCAGAGTTCCTCAATTTAAAAAAAGGAGAAAAAAAAACCCTGCAAGTTCTGAAGGAGATCAAGCCTCAGCCAGGTCAGAAAAAGTAACTCAAAAGTAACGTAACACATTACTTAACATAAAAAATAACTAACTAATGCAAGTTACTTTTTTTTACAAGTTACTTTTTTGGAGAGTAACTCTACTTTCAAAAGTAACTTTTCTTAATTTAATTTGCTTTTACAATCTAGATTGTGTCAAAGCAGCTTCACATAGAAGATTATAGTGAATCAAAACAGTGTCAGTTTTCAGAGTTGAAGTTCAGTTTAGTTCAGTTCAGTGTGGTTTAATATTCACGGCTGAGAGTCCAAACACTGAAGAGCAAATCCATCGATGTGCAGATCCACAAGTCCCGAGCCAAGCAACCCAGTGGCAACAGCAGCGAGGAGCAAACTTCAACAATTGACCAAAGTGAAGGAAAAAAAAACCTTGAGAGAAACCAGGCTCAGTTAGGCACGACCATTTCTCCTGTGGCCAAACTTCCTGTGCAACGCTGCAGTCTAAAGCCTGGTTTATACTTCTGCGTCAAGTGACCGGCGTAACCCACGGCGCATGCAACGCGCGTAGCTGTGCATTTATACTTCTGCGCGCTGTCTCTGTCGGTCTGCATTAACACTTCTGAAACGCTAGTTGGCAGTGAGGTGTAAATGTTCCTCTTTGTTAAGTTTCTTCGCTGCTGTTTTGCTTTTCCTGAACACTTCCGGGATGTATAAGTGGCTCAAACTCGCTCATTTTGAGGCAGGAACCGGCGGACGTGCAACAACTTTAACTATGAGGTAAACACAAAACAAAACTTTCCATCCGGAGCCCCTTCACGGGACTCTACACTAATAAACAATCGCTCCATCAGGCTCGCACCATTCACGCGGCTCTCGGTCCCGCCCAGACTCGTCAGCGCTTCCAAGCCGACCAATCACAGAGCTTACGCTACCATCGTTGTGACGTGTAGTTACATTTTTTGAGAGGTGCACGTCAACGACGCCGACGGCCACGGCGAAGGGCTATGCGTCAGCGCCGTAGCATACGCCGGCGTTTGATGCAGAAGTATAAATCAGCCTTAAGTGCCGGAGGCTGGAGAAAGCTGGACGCCCATCGTGGAGAAGCTGCAGGAGGAGAGGTCCCCGGCTGGTTTACAGGCTGGCCCTTCAGGATCAATGCGAGGACTCGTCTGTCATTGGATTCTTATTGTAATCAGTATCATGCTCTCCACTCCTCCATAACCACCACAGCAGCTGCTCAGGATACGGCCTGGTCCAGGATTATGGAATGTCTCAGGAATAATGAAAACAGACTACATAAGCGCAGATGCCGTTCAAACTATAATGTCTTTTGGAAAGTATTCCCGGCTCCGGTTGCCCTGAATAATGCAGACTAACAATCCTTTAGAGGATTTGGATCTCAAAAGCATTTGTGTTTTATGTGTATGCTAATGCAAAGAGATGTGTCTTTAATCTAGATTTAAACTGACAGAGTGTGTCTGCTTCCTGAACTGTGCTAGAAAGGCTGTTCCAGAGTTTAGGTGCCAGATATGAGAAAGATCTACAGCCTACAGTTGATTTTGATCAGTTGTCCAGAATTAATTGAGAGTGGTGGACGTGAGGGGCTATAATACAGCAGGAGCTCCCTCAAATACCGGGAAGCTTAGCCATTCAGGGCTTTGTAGGTAGTCAATAAAATTGTAAACATTTATAGGATATTTAATAGGGAGCCAATGCAATGATGAAAGAACGTTCGAGGTTACAGAAGTAACCCTTCGTTCCCCGAGGAGGGGAACGGAAGTGCCATGAATGGGAGGATTCGGATCAGAAGCCGCTTATCTGGAGAGTATTGAACGGGCCAATGAATGAAATTAATTGGCAGCGTAAGCTTGCGCAGGTGTGCGACATCTGCAATCATCTCAGCATATAAGCACACCTGAAGCCAGCAGACGCCATCCTTTTAAGCTGAAGAGACTTTCAAACAGCTAAGGGACAGTCATTATGGCGACGGAATATGGCACTTCCGTTCCCCTCCTCGGGGAACGAAGGGTTACTTCTGTAACCTCGAACGTTCCCCTTCGGTTGGGGAACTTCAGTGCCATGAATGGGAGAATATGGAAAGCGCCATAATGACTGCACCTTACCAACACCCCCGATGAGGAGATAGTCAAGCAAGCGTGACGCACCCACATCATGGGGGGCGCGGTCCTCCAACGTGTCCCTGGCCCTAATTTATCCTACTTCAATAGAAGTTTTACGGATTTAGATATATTTTTTGGGAAGTCGTGAGCATCTAGATAATTCTAGGAAATACGACAGTACGTTGGGAAGCGTGCAATCCCGATAGGGAGGACGCTGCGGAGGCCATCCGTTACCCAAGGGGGGATAGATGGCAGAATTTACCTATGGACTAGCCCTAAAAAGGGGGAGTACGCATAGCAAAGAGTGGTTAGCGGAGAGGGAAGACACGGGTCCGCCCAGGGGGGGGACTTAACCGTGGCGGAATAAGCATATGGGATCGCCTAGTGGGGATCACGCATAGCAGGCACCTATACCCAAAACGCGGGCTGACCAGCGGGCAGACCTACAACGTAGTGGGCCAGCAAGTGACTCCTCCGCTGAGTCAGTGCTGGGGGCCACGGAGGAATCTGCAGGGCTCACCTGACGGGGAACTTTACTGACAGATAAAAAAGGCGCACGTACCTCCGTGTTAGGGAGAATGGCGCAGCAAGCGTGTTTCAACACCCTACCGAGTTGTCTCCTCAATCACCAAAGGGTTACCTAATACCCTTGAGGAAACCGGCTCCACTCGCAGATTGTAAAACCTTGCAAATGTGTTGGATGTCGCCCAGCCCGCAGCTCTACAGATGTCTGTTAGAGAGGCGCCGCGTGCACGCGCCCAAGAGGATGCAACGCTCCGAGTGGAGTGTGCACGTACTCCCGGGGGACACGGCTGACCTCGACTCGAATAAGCGAGTGAAATGGCATCCACAATCCAGTGGGATAATCTTTGTTTCGATACGGCACTTCCCTGCTGCCGACCGCCATAACAGACAAAGAGCTGCTCAGA